ATCTTGTTTCTAAACAAATCTTGCCCGCTGGCAAGCTATTTTATCTCCTTTTGATTTTTCTATTGAACATCTTCACGGCTCTGCTAATTCCGTACCTGATTTCCTTACTCGTGAATTTTTGCAGGGGGGCCGTACCTTCACCTTACCTCCACCACCTGAGCCAGACGATATTCCTTACGGTTTACAATTGTTTTTGCAAAATACCAATATGAATACGAATACATCTCAAAGTAAATCTCATGGTAAACAACGAATGGACTTAGTACCCTGTACTGTACCTGGGGCTCTGATACGAATTTCGACGCAAGATCTACCCTAACCGTTTACCATAAATATATAAAGATGACAGAGTTATACGTTATTAATTGTTACAGAATTGTAACATAATAAAGAAAAACACTTATGAGAATAAGTGCAGAAAGCCAAAGATGCATCAAATACAATCCAAGAAGTGTGAGTATATTCACGAATTTTAAATGAAAAAACAAGTTTGAACTGCATAATACCTTTATTAGAAAGATGAAAGTAGAATAACAGTACTACTTACTGATTGCATATACAGAGACTTGCAAACTGTGAGGGTAAGGTAGATATATTACAATCACACATTATGAAATCATAAGAAAATACAGAAGTTACCGATTTTTAACGATGTACAGACGGCTTGATGGCAACTAACCTACTATCTACAGAAGTAGAGAAGAACAAAGTAGAAGAGAGGAGAAGAGGATGAGATTGAAAGACTATGAGAGCTTATGAAAGAGTATCCTTGATGAAGTCTGTCCCTTCTTGGAGAAGAGAGGAGGTATTTATAGGCCAAGAAGGAAGCTGGATGCCTTCACTGCGAAGCATTCTTGTGTATAAGTGTATGGCTGAGAAGAGATAAGGATGCAGTTGATCACAGAGTGGGGTCACGAAGAAGGACGCGTGGGTGGCTAGGGATGTGGCCGTGCATCGGTGATAGGGATGGAGTATCTTCCGTGCGTCGGTGGAGGTCGTACGTGCGAGCGGCGAGTCATGAAGAAAGGACACGTATGAAGAGGGAATCTTTTTACTGTGGCCTTGATGTGACTCTAAATTAGTCATATCAGCGAAAGTAGAGAACAGGGGGAATCTTTACTGTGGAGGTGTCTTGTCACTTTATAAAAGTGAGGTCATATCAGTTTATAAAGTGAGGAGGTCATATCAGTTTATAAAGTGAGACCGGGCCGGGCTACTCACCCGGTTTTTGGCTGAAATCTTCGAGAAGCGGGTTGCCTGACTGTACAGTTTCTTCAGAAATAGTTGGTCTTGTATTTGGTGTTGCGAAGATTTGAAGAAGATGTTCTTCGAGTTCTTCCAATGTGATATTAGGGTGTGAGAGACGCATTTTCTTTAGATATGCAGAAAAAGTAGGAAGACTGACAATATTATTTTCTTGAGGATGAAGTGTTTCACATGGAGGGGGTATTCGTTTGAGTGTGAATGTGGAGGGATCGGTACTGTAGATATCCCACCATTTTATTTTAATGGTTTTACCAAGTCGAGGGACATATTCAAAATTGTTGGTATTATTTTCAAAAAGGGTATAATCCCATTTAAGGATCCATGGAATTTGGTAAATGGCCATAAAATACAAATGATAATCATCTTGGGCAGTACAAGTATTATGTATATCAAATTTGGTTTGGACGACTTGGAATGCGTCTAGTAAAATCTGAGTATTTGATCCCCACAGTAGGAACCAATGTCGAAACCAGCTTGGGAATCGTTCCAAGATAGGGAATTTGAACTGGATATACCATGAATGAGTATTATTGGGATGTTGATATGCAAAGACCTTGTGCCAGGCCTCAATGTACTCAGCATACTTATAGTATTTATGTTGGAACTCAGGATTGGATAATTTTTTGCCTTGCATGGGGTTACATCCCCAATCTTCATATGATAATAACTTTTTAATTTGTAATTTCGAATATGCATATAATTTAGTATTACCTTGATAAAAATGAACAATGGAAACTGAACTGGTTTCCATTAATAGTGCTTCATACCATTCACGGGTTTTAGCTCCATTCAACGGGTTCAAGTGGTTGGCAAGATACAAGGGAGCTAATTTATTTGCATCGATGTTGATCTGCTTACCGCAGATTGGTATATCAGCTAGAAATGCAATTTCGATATAAACTGATTTTGGAGCAGAGGAGGTTTGTCTATTTGGGTACGCAGCTGGAGTAAATGCAGGACTAGGATTATGTATTGGACTTTACGGAGGAGTCTGGATAAAGTATTCTGCCACATTCGTCGACCGCATAGGTGACATAGGTGTAAGTGGGAAGGAAGGAGAACTGGGCATAAGAGGCCCAGGTACAGTACAGGGTACTAAGTCCATTTGTTGTTTACTATGAGATTTACTTTGAGATGTATTCGTATTCATATTAGTATTTTACAAAAACAATTGTAAACCGTAAGGAATATCGTCTGGCTCAGGTGGTGGAGGTAAGGTGAACGGTGGATTTATTAATTTTGTAGTCTATTATTTAAAAAAAGTTATTTTTGTGGGGCAATTTTGTAAACTTTACTATGCGACAAATGATACTTTTGTCAACTCCTTAAGGGGTAAAATTGAAATTTGAACTAAAAGACAAGAACACTCTACGAATAAAATTCCAAAATGTCATTATACTTTTTTACATGAAAATTAAATGTTATGATAAAATTTGGAGTTGTGCCTTAATTGGATTGTTTAAGGTTGTAACTTTATAGAAACCACACCATATATATATAT